ACTACTTAATGTGACTCAAATTCAATACAATATGATTCGATTATCATACTTAGTCTAGGTTTAATGTTTGTGTGATTGATAGCATGGTGGTTTAAATTGGGTCGGATCTTTTGAGTTAAATACGAGTTCAAGGGAGTAGTCGACGCAAATTTGAATACCCTATAACCCACAAAAAAAAAAGAAGTCAAAATTGACCGTAAAATTTGACCGCATCAACCTAGTCCAGTCTTGATATTCCCATGATTAATTTGGGACGAAAGGCAATCAAAAAATTGGAATGAATCACCCACCCACGAGGTCACGTTTAGTAAATATTGGTGTTCACATGATTGATTTGAATGATTCATTTGTGCCCAAATTCACAAAATTTAAGCCGAAATTTATATGATCCGGATGCATATTCATGTATCAATGTTAGAAAGATGTCCAAATAGGGAAAATATTGGCAATAGCTCGTTAGCGTCACGTGGTGTTATCAATCAATTATAAATAAACATGTAGAACTAGTAGATCCCAAAAAATTCTAATTATCAACTACTTTTGTATTCAATAACTATCATGTAGGATTATTGTAATTCAATTGTCGTACTTATTTACTCATAATCAGTTGATGATACCACGTGACGATGATAACGTATTATCACTGTCACATTGAATAATTACTCGTGTATACGATGACTCAAAGAGGTTGAATGAATACAGGAAAATACCATATAAATTGGGGCAAGACTGACAAGGATGTTATAAACAGATTCACTTGTAGCTCTCCATTAAATTTCAACCAAAAAAATCATTTGAGGTCAAAGAAAAACTATGGTGGTGTTTGGTTAGAGGGATAAAGGTGGATAACTCATATGGATTGGATTTAAATTGTTTGGGGCCCACATAACCCAGGTTTGGATCCACAATTTCAGATAGGATAAACATTGTTACCCAATTACTCGGCCCGTAGTGATTGAAGCCTTGTATCCCTTCTGAGTCGGATTCATTAAACCCACGGAGCATATGGAATTCATTTGGGCAGATTTCCAAATGACAGGATAACTAATGATTTTATCATTATGACCTTAAAAATAGTACTCAAGCCAAGCATTTTTCATCTCTTCCTCAGCTCACCGCCCCTAACTGCCCACTCCTTTTTCTCCTCTCCTCTCTCTCTGTCTCTCTCTCTCTCTTTCTCTCTCACATTTTGAAGCATCAATCGCTATTGTCTGGACGTGGAAAGGGAGGCAATGGGCTGGGAAAGGGAGGAGTGAAGCAGTCCTGGAAGGTGCTTCATGATAACATCCAGGGCATAACAAAGTTGGCAATCTTCGTCGAGAATGTGATTCGTGATGGTGTGACCTACACTGAGCACGCTGGTCGCAAGACCATGATGGCCATGGATGTGGTGTATGCATTGATGAGGCAAGGTATGACTGCACGGATTTGGTGGTTAGGGTTTCTGTCTCAAAAAAGTCTTGCTATCAAGAAGATGAAAATTGGGGTTTTACTTAAACCCCAGATTGCATTTTTTTTTTTCATTCAAAGTGTTTGGAGGTTTTGAGGCAATTCTTTGAGACAATAAATATTACATTCCACAATGATGCTGGGTAAAGTTGACCAAACTGATTTTTGGTGCGATTTATGATTGGGAGATAGGCCTTTGCTATTTAGAATAGAGGAGTTGCCTTAGGTTTTTCCTAAGGTCAGTGAGTTGCTTGTGAATTCAGTTTGGCAGTTGGGACCTTGTGAACAATTGTTGGGAAAACATTTAACAAAGGAAATTAAAAATGCTGGGATACTTCTCTCTGTTTCTAATGACAAGTTGATTTGGCAGTGTTCCAATTCTAGTTCATTTTCTGTAAAAACAGCTTGGAAATTGGTGAGATATCATGGGGAAAGGAATGTTGTTGCAAAGGCAATTTGGGGTATGGTGACTGCCCCTAGTGCCCAGCTAGTGGGTTGGAAGAAGCTTTGCTCTGTTAGTTTACTGGTTGATTTGGAAAGAGAGGTGTAGGAGGAGAGCTGAGGAAGGATTTATCAATTCTTACTCCGTTTTTCTCAAAATATTTAGTGTTTTGAGGTTTCAGGTAAAGAATGTGAGGCCTAAATGATGGATGTGAATAGGGGAAGTGCTTTTCTTCAATTGCTAGGTATTTCTTTGTCTTATGTTCTTAGAACTAAGGCTCTACGGGTGAGGCCAGGATGTTGTGTTTTGAAGCTGAATGTGGATGGGGTTGGGAAGGGCAACCCTGGTATAACTGGTGGGGGTGTAGTTGTTCAAAATGAATGGGGATGAGTGATCCTAGCTGCTTCTTTTTTCTATGGGACATGTTCTAATATGGGTGCAGAGTTTAGGGCTATGTTAGATGGTTTGCGTTTGGTTGAAAGATATGGCTTACTTGTGTATAAAGTTCTGATTGAATCAGACTCAGATTGATTGTGTATTGCACAAATTAAATTAAATAAATTATAAACATATTTTTTGCAATATGTTGTAAAAATGCATAATTTGTTGAATCATATTTTTTTCCCCTAAATAAGACAATATTATTGGATTGGACTTTTTTCATTCCAATTGGTATAGGATTAGATTACATTTATTTACACAAGGGTGCAGTGGTCATTTTAATATCTTTTATCTTAACATATAAATGAAGTCCACAAACCAAATGAAACCTATCCAAAGATGGGATATAATTTGAATCCGAACTTTATAATCCTCCACTGTAATCAAAGGCCTTACTCCCGTCTGAACTCCCCTCATAACTCGATGAAGTGAACTCTGTTTCAAAATTCTTGTTCGAACTAGCTAACTGCATGATGTTCTCAATTTCTCTCACCACCTCACCCATTGTAGGCCTCTCAGATGAAGAGTCTTTGACACATCTCATTGCCAACTCCACAAACTTTTTCAAGCCTCCAAGTTTTGCACTTGGACCGAGGGTTGGATCAAGAATGTCATGAATGTAATATTGATCCGTTAAATTAGCAATTGCATTCTTAACCACTACCACAATGTACTTCCCTCGCTCTATTGGTGCCCTTGCAGTTACCAGCTCCAGCAATACAATTCCAAAGCTATAAACATCACTCTTTTCAGACAGTTGTTGGGTAGTGTAATATTCAGGATCCATGTATCCCTACAGTGACAAAGGAATCGATTTTCCATGTGTCAACCTAAAGCAAAATTGAAGCACCAATAAAATAACCAAAATACCCAATCATACACAGCATAGATAAATTTGAGAAAAGCTAAATAGCTACTTAAAGTCCTATAAAATGTGTGTGCAGTATGTGGCCTGGGGCAAGCACTAGAAGTATGGACCATATCCTCTACCACCTTCCACTAGAAATGTCCAAACTTTCCTAGATTTTTTTTTTCGCATGCTTTGTAAATCCGGGAGACATTTAAATTAGGGCAACTATCAAGGGAGATATTTTATTTAAACAGTGGGCAACTTTTCAAGCAAGTGTAAGAAATCATAATTACAGCGAATATAATCCTCAGATGTATGTTTTTAATAAACACTTGGCATCCTGCTTGAGAAGTACTAGAAATTATTCCAATAAGCTACCCGGTTATCAATGCTTATCCAGTAACTGAAGTGATGCACAATGAAAATTGAAAAATTCAGTAATATTCAGTTGCTTACAAAAAATAGTGGGACAACTCTGGAGTCATTTCATAGGTCAGTGCCTTGATTAGCCAGCAAAATGAGGTTATAATAATCTTCTATCTCAACAATTCCAGAAACAATCCGAAACTCGTAACTATCCAAAAAGCTTTGGAGGGCAAAGCTATACTATTTTCCATCTCCCCCCTCAGGAAAAAAAGACATCCAAAAATGGCTACATAGCAATGTAGTGGTATCCATGCTAAAGTAAAGGTTTTAAGGATTTCATACTTACCATTGTCCCTTTGACTTGAGTGCTGACATAATTCTTACTGGTATCTTCCATAAGTTTGGATAAGCCAAAATCGGCAACTTTTGCATTTAGACAATCATCTAGTAGGATGTTGGTTGACTTAATGTCCCTGTGTATGATGGGAGGGTTGGCAAGCTCATGCATATAGGCCAGACCTTTGGCTGAATCAAGGGCTATTCTAAGTCTCCTCATCCAGTTCAATTGGAATCCTGACTTCCCTGTATAGATCATGTTCAGATTATCAAAGAGAAGTAATTTTCATTTGTGTCTTCTCAATTATAATTCTCCATATTGTTTCTTGCATAGTTCATTGTGCTTGAGGATAAAAAAGAGAGAAAATTTCTGTTAACGAGTGATTGCTCGTCTACGGTTGGGCTGTACAACTCTATGGTATAACTCAATTGAGTAGTCCATTGGCTTAAGGGCGACACAGAATAGGGGTTTCGAGACAGGTCCCCCTGCCCACTAGCCATTATGTAATTCGGCATGGCACCATTAATATACTTTTATTAGTCGTACTTAATTAGATGGAGGCCCGTGGTTAGGTAACGTTAATCAATGAGATTCAGGTGTAAAAGGGGTAGGGCAGGAGAAGCAATCCAGTCTTGTTATGAGATGAAGTGATGGTTTTAATCTCCTTGGTTGAGTTTGACACATTGTCGTATTAGGCAAAGTCTCATTTTTATAGCTCCTATCTGATTACCTGATTGCTTCATTGTCAATATTATGTGTTGAAGGTGGCAGATGATACTATTTCAAATATTCGAAGGACTACAAGAAATTAGTGAAATTACCTGAAAGAGCATCTTTCAGGGTACCATTTGGAATATACTCATAGACCAGCATTTGTTCCCCTTGCTCATAACAGAAACCCACCAGGCTGACAACATTCTTATGATGGATCCTTGATAGAAGCTCAATCTCAGTCTTAAACTGAAGAGCATCCGGCAATGATCCCTGTCGAGCTCTTTTGATGGCAACTAATTGGTCAGAGGCAATAGTTCCTCTATAAACCTGTCAACAAACTATAAATTTAGAATTTAGAAATTTCTGGAGCTCAACTAATATCGAGAGCGGAAAAATGCCGAGAATCCCATGTTAATCATCAAAATTTTGTCATGTAAGAAGGAAGGTCAAAATAATCTTTATCCAGGGGACGAAGCAAACACATTTTGTTATCAGAAAAGAAAAAAGAGCGCATGTCTGTCACATGAAGTTTTTAAAATAATAAAGTGAATGGGAAAAATGTTGTATTGTACTTTAGATAATAATGCAATTACATACTTTTGAGAACTTATTTTGCTTGTACTTCACTATTCCATTCTCTGATAACTGGCTTGTCCACATAGGAAGTTAAATAGTTCCGGATATTTCGATAATTGCCAAATAAGACCAATTCATCCGGATCTAACATATGTACTGTCTTCTTGTCTAGTAAATGATGGCGTGTGGATTAATCAATGGTGTGAGAGTCTTAGGACAGGTTTAGGGTCTGAAATCGCAGTTTTTAACTAGAACTGGTGGTAAAGTACTAGCTGAAGTATCACATGGAGATTGAAAAAAAATTGAAAAAGAGAAAGGAAACTAAAAATATCTAACCTTCCCATAGCCCCCAGATCCAACAACGTTCACTTCTGCAAAATTGTTAGTACATTTCCGAAGCTCTTCAAATGAAAACCATCTAGCTCCTTTAAGTTGTGGAACACCACCACTGCTTTCATCACGGTCCCAATTTGCTACAGTTGTACGAAAATGGTTTTTAGAGCAACTCATATAATTTAGCTAAAAAGAGCTTTGTTTTACCACAAATATTGATCTTACCAAAAGGGTTGCTCTGTTGAACTGCTCGTTTTGCTTCTCTCTTTTGATGGAAAGCATAAAATCCTGCACCGAGTATGAAAAGCACAAGCACAAAACTACCAACTACTGCTCCAACGTTAATTCCTGTATTAGATGGTTTTTTTGCTCCTGTAAATGCAAAAATAGGTCGATAGATGTGTTAACAGAGGTTGTAATAATTAAAACTGCAAAGGTTTGTTCATGTACTTGAAGGCTACTCTACTCATTGCCTATTGGTTTTTAGTTGGATGCTCTAACATGATATATTAGAGTTGAGTTTTGGGTGGCTAGTGGATGAAGTCTCTTACCCATTTGAATTTCACAGTATGAATAGTTGTTTGTTTATTTGTTGACTCCACATACAAGTCCGGGTCCTACATGAGGGAGGGTGTTTAAGAGATCTTGTACCCTACATTAAATAATTATGACCGGCAAGGTTGGAGTATATACTTGAAGGGTTACTCCACTCATTACCAATTAGTTTTGAGTTGGATACTCTAAGAGGATGTACTCCTATGTATGGATAGAAAATGATGTGTCTCATTGCACCAAACATCCAAAATGCTTCTACTAGTTAATATGAGATACAAGTTTACCTGCAAAGCAACAATAGCTCTCTTCTTTAAAGGAGTAACTCCCATAATTTGGAATCCGGAAAGAGTTGGTGAGCAGAAAACCAACTGTAGAAATTCCTGTTCTATTGAAATGATCCAGACCAGAAGGAAAGATTTGCAGTCTGAACTGAAGGTAAGAGTATACATCAACGGTTGGATCACTAAGAGAAACTGAATCCACAAGAAGTTGATTGGACTGAAAAGCTGACATCAGAGACTCCGCAAGTGTTCTGAAGTAACTTGAGTTTTCTAAATTTGAAAAGGAAAAAGAAAAGAAGTGTAGGGTTCCTGTGTACGGATATGCACATTTGCAATTTGGACTTAATATTCTGTCTGAACGGCAGACCACGGCAGTGCAGCTATTTGTTGGTGTGATGTATGAAGGGTTGGATTTCTGAATTGTGCAGTATCGTTCGGTTGCTCCATTTCCCTGACAAATTGGGTTACCCACAAGCCTGCATGAAACAATGGAATAAGAACTCTAAAAGGGGATAACATGCTAATAACATTAAGCACAGAGCATGCGCTATCCCAAAATGGAATTAATGGTGAATCAACAAAAAAATAAATTGCCTTACTTCAAGACCATATTGTAACTTGCTTTCTGTGTAAAGTCGCTAATGGAGTTGTTCTGCAAATCAACGGTCAAATTGTTGCTATAACTGTTGCCAATATCCAGTGTCCCATTAAGCTTGTTGTTGCTTAGTACCCTGCCAACATATTTCCAATAAATTGCCCCATCACCCTCATTTCTCATTGAAAAAACCTTATTTGGATTCTTCTATGTTGAAAATGAAGCAAAACATATGTTCATTAAATTTTGTTACTGAACATCGCCCACATTAAATCTTGGTGTTCATGGTGTTATTGGAGATTAAGCTTATACTCACACCGTCTCCAATTGAGGGAGGCTGAAAAGATTGACTGGAATGTGTGCTTCAAGTTGTGTATTTTCCATCACTCTGTCAATATGAGGTAAAGAAATATTATTTTACGTACAGCATCAAAAAACTCGTAAATTAACAAGACAATTCACTTTCTTTTGTTGTTATTGAAGAGCTGTTGGGGCTTCCAACCCTTAAAGGTGCTCCTGGCTATCTTGTATACCCATTAGGTTGACAACTAGATACACGCACACACACATAACAAAAACACATTGAGAGAGATAGAGAGAGAGGGTACAAAGATGGCAGGAAAGTGATGAAAGAGAGTCCTCCTTTTGGAAGAAGTTCAGGGCATTGTCTTTTGTGTACGATTTCAATTCGAAAGACAGAAAAAAGTCCATGTTTTGGGTAGACAGACATCTCCAGTGAAGTTTTTCCACTTACCTCTCCTAATCCCGCCAAAGGCGGGAAGGATTGTTCATTGGGTATGACAACAATACAAAAATCATAGTTTAACTATTCTTAAGACAGCAATGTGTAGAGAACTTTTTCATGAATGAATGTTTAAAGAAACCTTTTCATGAATGCATGTTTCTGCTGTGTGTGAGTGAGTGAGAGAGAGAGAGAGAGAGAGAGAGAGATGGGTACAATGTCGTCAAAGACTGTATTTCGGTAAACCACGGGGGAATTTCTGATACATCAAAACTATTATTGCTCATATCCCTACAAAGCAAATAGGTGTTGGTCAGAATTTCCAATGGATCACATTATTACAGAGTATGCCATAAGAATTTGACAAAGAAAAAACACAAACGAAAAAAGTATGCGAATATGACAGGAGAAAAGTTGAAAATCATCTTTGAAAAGATAGCTTCAAATTAAGCAGCATTGCTTCACCTACACCATTAATAATATGAAAGATTCAAGAAAGTAACCCCAGCTTACATGTAGGTAAGGGAGTTCATGCCGGTAAGGTCTGGAAGAGGTCCTGTGAGTTCATTGTTGGACAAGTACCTGAAAGTGGATAGCCAAGTCCCATTTTTATTACTCGGAGAATCTAATGCATGATAATCTAAAAGCTTGAAGTTCGAGAAATCATCTGTCTGCTTACAGCTCCTTGACACTTGTAAGGTTGTTGAGGTTCGGAGGGACGGGCCCACTTAATGAATTACAATCTAGGCGGCTGTAGCCAAGACAAAATTCAGCGCAAACTAAATTATAAAAGTTCAGCGCAAGCAAGGATGGAGATACTCACACCGTCACCAATGTTTGTACAAGTCCTAGAGTAGGAGGGATGTTCCCCCTCAGTTGATTGTTGTTAAAAATTCTGCAAAAAATAAACACGGAGAAAATGGAGGCCTATTGTGAAACCATCTACCTTCTTACTTATATGTGAACAAAGTGAATGCGCACAAAACGTATCTGAATTACATATTTACTTAAAGGTAATAAAGCAGAGATACTAAATATCCATTCCAATATACTCACAAATGTATCAAGTTCATGTTTGAGCTGAAAAGTTGCCGTTGGATGGTGCCCGAAAGCTGATTATTTTGGAAATGACTGTACATAATTGGTAGATGTTCACATCGACAAATAGGAAAAAAAAATTACAAGAAAGAAGAAACTAAACATTTTGAAAACTTCAGAAGTAGAACATACAAGTGTTTTGCTTTAACTAGCATATCCAAACCAGGTGTAGTTCCCTTGGACACTGGAATGGTTCCAGTAAGCTGATTCTCACTTACATCCAGCCATGTAAGATTCAATAGATTACCAATAGAAGCTGGAATTGGTCCACTGAAGCTGTTAGAATTCAGAGCTCTGCGTAGAACGGCAATTCACAAGATACAGAACATAAGATGACTGCAGCTTCAACTAAAACTCTTCATTTAAATTCACCTTCCTTTAAAAATCCAATAGTCATATTTTACCCTCATTTAAATTTGGGTTTTTGTCTCCTCCTTTAAGTTTGAGTTTCTCCATTGAAGAGGTTAATAGCAAAACAAGCTTTTTAACCACCCCCCTCCCCAAACACACACACACACACATACTTTTTATTACTCAAATGTGGTTCAAACTATAATGCCAAAATTCCTGGGCTTGTGTAAGGAAATGGATGATCATCAAACCTTGAGAAAATCAAACAAAGTACTCTGGAATGAAATCCTTACAGAAATACTAGCTGCGGCAGAGATCCTATTGAGTCTGGAATTGGACCAAAGAAATTGCAAGCAACCAGCTTTCTACGTGAAAGGAAAATAAATTAGTCAAATGTAAAAACTGAAGCACACTAGTTGGGTAGCTAACACTCAAAGCAGTAGGGAATAGGATTTTGCTTACAGGATCGTCAGATTCTTTAAATTCCCAATTGATGGTGGAAGTGTTCCTGTCAGACCTCTGTTATTTGAAAGATCCCTGCTTGCAGAAGCTACTGATCAGAAAATAACTGGTTCTTGCGAAATTTATCAGCAATAATGTAGAATACAAAACAATGTCTACAGGTAAAGTAAAGAGATGTCCGTTGAATTAAAGTAACATATAAACCACAGATTTGAATTTTAGTTTTTTTTTTTTGGTGGGATGTGTTCTCCTGGAAGTTTCAAGGGCCGAGAAAGTAATATTTAAAGGGACGGGACCTAGGTGGCTCAGCATCCTTAAGCTGACATGTGTATACTTATAGCCGTTATGAACCTAAAGGGCGCCAGAAGAAAGAGCCGACAGCTATGGTAAGGCCAAGTGGAGCACATTGATTGAGCCCAGTATTGATGAGGATAAGACAGTTCATTAATGACACTTGAGTGACAATGACAGGGCCATTAATGAGCCTCTGTGACCTCGAGACCTGTAGGAATAGTCATCATTGCAAAATATTAATTGTAGTGACGATCGACTTGTTATCTTTGGCGCGCCCGAGGTGACTATTCCCCGAGCATTAAGTGCTCGGGCGTAGGTGTCAAGCACCGAGCCGAGGCTATTAAATGATTGACGATACGGAGTTAATACTCGGGGTCCCCCGAGCACTCTTTCCATACCCCGAGGGGGCTAAGTGTGAAGGAATTTGACTGAAGTGCACTCATTACTCTTGGATATGAGTGTTAGCTATTAAATGCTGAGATGAGACTCTCAGACCCCCTAATCATTACTTATTCAAGTATAAATACCCTACAGAAAAATGAACAAAGGTACGCAAACCAAACTCAGAAAATACACTATGTCAATGTCTCCAATGCCGACTGACTTGAGCTTCGATGGGATTAGCCGGGTGTTCACTTTGCCCCTGTCCTAATCTTTTGATTATTTCAGGTTCACCATCCAGATGATTGTTATCTTCAACTATTGCGGGTATTCATCTGTGCAATTTGGCACCGTCTATGGGAAACTACGAACTTCCCCTGTAACAATCACATCATGATGAACACATGATCCCAAGGTGATGTGGGGGGGGGGGGGCAGCTAACGCGTGAGAAATGCGGAAGCTAGCCGACTTCCAGCAATCATCGAATCAGACTCCTTGAGCTAGTTTGGTGGAGACCAGAATGTCTCTCAGCAGACGTTGCTAGTGGATTAAGGCCTTGGGGGGCAAGGCCTTTTGGCTTGAGAAATTGTTGAGTTAACGGAGAAACGGATGGAAAAATGTCTTGAGCGATTGGAAAAGGATAATGCTAAGGTGCGGACTCGACTCGATGATTTTGAGCAATCTGGGGTGCCAGCAGGCGAAGTAGCTTACGTGACGATAGAAGTATCCTCTGGGGTGATTCTAGGGGCACAAGGCCGAATACCTAGGGGAGAAGCTTACACGAGCGCTTGGGCGAGAAGTGCAAGTCTCGGAGCTATAAAACGCCTATTCCTGAGGAGGGTAGGCAGACCGACCTTTTCCGTGGAGATTTTTTTCATAGGCTCTCAGCGGGCACCGCGGTCACTGAGTCCCACACGGGTTCTACCACTAGGGGGCCTAGGAAAACAAGGCCCCGAGAGGACCTCCGAGCACGCTTGGATGCCAAGCGACGAAATCTGTATCAGAGGGAGGAAGAAGAGTCTGAAGATGAGCAGATCGTCTCGTCCTTTGTTCGGGCGATTCGAGAAGTCCAGATGCCGAAGAAGTTCACTGTCCCTTGGTTCAAGGTTTATGATGGGCGGACGAATCTCGAGAGCCATTTGCGATAATATAGGTAGCTAGTATCTATATACGACACCGACCAAAGGCTATTGTGCCGAGTTTTCCCTATGAGCCTGGGGGACACTACCATGAAGTGGTATGATGGCCCCTAAGAGTATCAAATCTTGAAAATAAATGTTCGAGCTCTTTGTGGCTCGATTTATCACCAGTAACAAGAGGCCAAAGGACATCGACGCTCTGCTAACTCTCAAGCAGAAGGGTGGCGAGACCCTTTGCCTGTATGCCATCAGATACTGGGAGGAGTTGAATGAGGTTGAGGCTTGCTCGGAGGCCATGACGGCAGCAACGTTTCGATTAGGATTGTCCCGAGATACTGATCTGTACCGATCCCTCACTAAGTGAGCTCCAGTGGACATGAAGGACCTGATGGCTCAAATAAACAAATATTTGCGGGTTGAGAAAGAATCGACAGGGCCCGAGCCTAGGGCTCCCACACCAAAGAAGAGGGACAGGGAGACACCTGCAAGGAGAGGGGCTTCGGTTCCTGGTCTGAGCTGCGTGTCCTTTCAAGAGGTGAGTACAATCTTCAAGGAGCCCATTTATAAGATGCTCCACAAGATAAAGAAGGAACCTTTCTTTAAGTGGCCCCCGAAGATGCAAGGGGACCCATCCTCTAGGGATCCAAAGTCAAAGTGTTCCTACCATCGAGACATTGGACATATGACTGAGGACTGTAAAGTGTACAAGTCCTTTCTTGAGCAGTTGGTCTGAGATGGGCCCTTGGGAAGTTCATTGATGGCACGACCCAAATAACTTGGTGAGAGAAGGAGCCAACGCGTCTATGGAAACAGTGCCCGTGATCAATGTGATACATGCCTGCACAATGGAGAGACCAACTTACAATTCACTATGTGCTGGCCTACAGAGGGTGTCCCAGGCCGTAAAAGTAGGAGAAAAACATGAGGAGCTGTCATCTAAGAAGGCCCGACTTGATGCCGAGACTATCAACTTCTCTGACGCCAATCTGGGTGGGTTGGCCCTTTTGTACAAGGATGTTCTAGTAATCATCCTTCGAGTCGACAAATTTGATGTGAGGAGGATCTTGGTAGACTTGGGAAGTTCATCCGAGGTGATGTATGATAACATGTTTTGCAAAATGGGATTCATTCAAAAAGACTTGAAACCAGTTAAGACCCCCCATGGTAGGTTTCAACGGATCTTGCGCCATCCCCCTCGGGAAGATCACGTTGATGGTCATTGCCAGGGTCTTTACCGTCCCGATGGAATTCATGGTGATAGACTCCGATTCTTCATACAATGCCATCATGGGCAAGACTTGGTTGCACGCAATGAGTGTGGTACACTCGTCTTATCACCAAAAAATAAAGTTCCCTACGCCGAGGAGTGTCATGGAGATTTGTGGTGATCAGGTATCATCCAAGAGCTATTTCTATGCCACGGTGAAAAACTGGGGTCAGCGCTCAAGTTCAAGAATGTAACCCCAAGGCAGTGCTGGCTAAATAGCAATCACAGTTCTGTCGGCCTGATGTAGACGATCCGATCATTGAACCGGCCGATTGATCTACAGAGGCCTTGATCAAGATCCTTCTGAATTTCGGGGATGAGGACATGTTCTTTTTAATAGGATCTTCATTGAGTGGTGCTGATAAGGCAGACATGATAAGCTTCCTACACCAAAATGTAGATGTCTTCGCTTGGACTCAATTCGAGATAACGGGGGTAAGCCCCGAGGTGATATTTCATCGACTTTATGTGAATCCATCCTTTAAGCTTGTCAAACAAAAGACTCAAAGGACGGTGCCTCATCATGCTCAGGCAGTGGATGAAGAGGTCGATAGGTAGCTCGGGGCTGGGTCCATCAGGAAAGTCTAGTTCCCCGAGTGGCTATCAAACACGGTGTGTGCAAAGAAGAAATGTGAAAAATGACGTGGATTTCACATATTTGAACAAAAGCCTGCCCTAAGGACGAGTATCCACTACCGAAGGTTGACCAGTTGGTTGACGCGACAACTGGCCATAAGCGTATCTCCTTTATGGACACCCGAGCTGGTTGCCACCAAATTCCCTTGCACAAATCAGATCAAGAGAAAACAACGTTCATCACACCCTGAGGGATCTATTGTTACATGGTGATGCAGTTTGGATTAAAGAATGCTGGTGCCACTTATCAATGCCTGATGAACTAGATGTTTAAGAAATAACTCGGGGTTAACATGGAGGTGTATATTGATGACATGCTAGTCAAGAGTAAGGAGGAGTCCGAATATCTTCGTGACCTCAAAACGGCCTTTGCCGTATTCTGGAGATACGGCTTGAAGCCCAATGCCTCGAAGTGTGCTTTTAAGGTAAGCTTAGGTAAGTTTTTGGGATACTTGGTCATTCATCGGGGTATAGAGGCCAACCCTGAGCAGGTACAGGGCGTGCAGAATATCCAGGTGCCGAAGACTATCAAAGACATCCAGAAAGTTATCGGGATGTTGGCAGCCCTCAACCGGATCATTTCCAAGTCTTCAGACAAGTGTAAACCATTCTTTGCCATGCTCAAAGGGGCAACAAAAGGAGTTTGGGATGAGGAATGCGATCGAGCACTCGAGGTGATCAAAGACTACTAGAGATCCCCCCAACGTTTTCTGTTCCGGTGGCGGGTGAAGTGCTAAACATTTACTTGTCTGTCTCAAAATGAGGAATCAATGGGGGCTTTGGTAAGAGAGCATAATGCGGTTTAGAGACCTATTTACTTTATAAGCAAGACCTTGCTTGATGCCAAAACAAAATACTTGCCAATGGAAAAGCTTATATTGGATCTGGTCGTCTCGGCCAGAAAACTCAGACATTATTTTTAAGCATATCCCATTGAGGTTCTGGCCGATTGGCATACTTCACAAGGCCGACATGTCTGGGCGAGTGGCTAAGTGGGTCGTGGAGCTTGGAGAGTTTGAAATCAAATACAAGCCCCGAACTTTATTGTTGAATTCTCTACGTCTGAGGCTCCATCTGAGGATTTATTTTGTGATAGCAATAATGTTTGGAGTCTGCATGTTGATGGATCCTTGAATGCAAAGGGGGTAGGAGTGGGTGTAGTCTTGGCCAATTCCGAAGGATTCACAATGGAACGAGCTATCAGACTTGGATTCAAAGCATCTAACAATGAGGCCGAGTACAAAGCGTTATTGGCTGGACTTGAGGTTACATACTCCGTCATGGTTAGAAACCTCCATATTTTTTGTGACTCCCAACTGGTGATAAACCAAATCAATGGGGACTTTGAAGTTCGAGATGATAGGATGAAGGCATATCACCAGAAGGTGAAGCTAAGGATGGAGAGGTTTGAGAAGATAGAAGTATCATAAATCTTGAGGCCCACAACAGCCATGCCGACGTATTACCTGCCTAGCCTCAACTTTGGCCTTGGAGGTTACTCGGTGCATTACTATTGATTACTTGGAAGGTCTGAGCATAGAAGATGTAGGCGCCGAGGAGGTGTTGCCCACGTACATCTAAGATGCAACCCCAAGTTGGATGAACCCTATCATCAAGTACTTGGTGGAAGGGGTACTTCCCAAGGAGGTGAAAGAAGCTCATAAGGTCAAACTGAAGGGCCCCAAATTCTGGATATCCCCCGATCATAAGCTGTACAGAAAATCCTTTTTGGGACCATACCTGCTGTATGTCCCTGAGGACAAGGTGGAGCCTTTGCTTTATGAGATCTATGAAGGTATATGTGGAAGTCATATAGGGGGAAGATCTCTCGCACACCGTACTATATCTCAGGGGTATTGGTGGATATATATGTAGAAATACGCCAAAAACTATGTACAGAAGTGTAATAAGTGCTAGAAGTTCACCCCCATTATCTGAAAACTAGCTAGATATTTAAATCCCTTGACAAGTCCTTGGCCATTTTCTTAGTGGGACATCAACATAGTGGGACCTCTCCCGAAGGCTCCCTTAGGCAAGAAATTCCTCCTAGTAGCTACTGATTACTCACAAAATGAATTGAGGCCGAGCCTTTGAGTCGCAATCGGGAAGTAGAAACAAAGAAGTTTGTATGACATAACATTATTACTCATTTTGGCATCCCTCCGACTATCATCTTCAATAACGGCACCTAGTTCAACAGCGGTCCGTTTAGAGAGTACTGCTAGGGATTTGGAATACGTAACTATTATTCCACCCCAAAATATCCACAATGTAATGGGCAGATAGAAGTTTCGAATAAGATAGTACTGGTTGGAATCAAGAAGAGATTGAAAAGAGCCAATGGTTGGTGGATTGAAGAACTACTCAATGTCCTCTAGGCTTATAGAACCACCCCAAGGACTTCCATGGGTGAAACTCTCTACACTATGACATATGGGGTTGAGGTAGTTATTCCTTTGGAGGTAGGACTGCCAACCATACAAAGTCAAGCCTTCAAGCTAGGGAACAATGATCAATAGCCAAAAATCTTGATTTAGCTGAGGAAAGAAGAGAACTGGCGTCTATCAAGCTGACAAAGTACCAAGAAGAGATGTCAAGGTAGCATAAAAAGAAAGTCCAAACCAGGAGCTTTCAAGTGGGAGACCTAGTGCTGTGCAAGGTCTCTAGCAACACTCGAGAACTCACAGATGGGAAGCTCGCCCTAATTGGGAAGGTCCCTATAAAATTGTTGTCGTGGGGGGGGGGTAGGGGCATATCGATTACAGGACTTAGAGGGAAAGTATGTAAGCTGACCTTGGAATGTATCAAACTTGAAGAAACATTATCATTGAAGTAT